CCACCCCCGCCCGGTTCCGCAGCGCCCTCTAGCACCGGGCTGGGCCGTCTCGGCCGGCTTCCCGCCGTGCCTCCCGCTGGGTGGGCACAGGGGTCCGCTATGGCTGCCGTGCTGCGCTGCCCAGCGGTTGGAAGGGCAGGGCTCGCGCGGCGGAACCCCGGCTGAGCCGCGCGACTTTTTTCCTCGGTGCGGTCTCCCAGCCTGGCTCCGGAGTGATGTTGCTTAGGCAAAGGGATGCTGCCTCCCTCTGGGTACTCGGTGTTCTCGGTGCCTCTGGGTTTCCTGCCACTGAGGCCGAAAGGCACACCATACTGTTAACGGTTACTCCTTTATTGGGCGCATGTAGGAAAAGTTTAAAGCACCCCAGGAGGAAGGATGCCTTGTCCCTTCTACTAATGTGAGCACACAGCTAGAAGGAGCCATCTGTATACCAGAAAGTGCCCACACACACGCACATATATGCACACGCATACACCCCAATCTACTCATGTTTCACACTTTCCAGGACTGTAAGAAGTAAATTGTTAAACTGGGTGGTGGTGGCGCACGCCTTTAGTCCCAGCACTAGGGAGGCAGGGGCAGGCGGATCTCTGTTGTGTATTCGAGGCCAGCCTGGGCTACAGAGCCAGTTCCAGGACAGGCTCCAAAGCTACACAGTGAAACCCTGTCTTGACAACCAAAAAAAGAAGAGGAGGAGGAGGAGGAGGAGGAAGAGGAGAAGTCAATTGTTGTTTATGAGCTGCCTCATTTATGGTTTTCTGCTTTTGTTTTTGTTTTTTGTTTTTCAGGACAGGGTTTCTCTGTGTAGCTTTGGAGCCTGTCTTGGAGCTTGCTCTCTAGCCCAGGCTGGACTCGAACTCACAGAGATCCACCTACCTCTGCCTCCCGAGTGCTGGGATTAAAGGCGTTAGCCACCACTGCCCAGACTTGTTTATGGTATTTTGTTATAGCAGCTCAAACAGACTGAGACATTATCTTTGGACAGATTTGCAGCAGTGACTTTTCCTGGGCTAAGGATAACCCTGGTATGATGGATGATACTTGGCTTTTCCTCCAGCTCCTGGAAAAGACAAAGTAGCAGTAACATATCGCTGAAACAATTTTTTTAGTTAACTAGATATAAAATGCAATCTCATTGTTTAACTCCCATTTTTTCTGTATCATCTTCAGGGCCCTTTTTCTCTGGGTGTGAACCAGTTGGAATGCCTGGTGCTAAGATGTAGATCTCCACCAGAACATAATCCTCTGCAGCTGTTTGTGCTTGCTCTGTGTGCAGGGAGATCTATTTCCCAACCTTTCTATTGAATTTTTCATTTTGGTGAGAAACTTTATTTCCAAAGACTCTAGTTTCTCTCATGGTTCTTCTTCTAATTCAGGTATAATTTACAAATCCTTTGTTTTGTTTTTTTCTAGACAGGGTTTCTCTCTGTAGACCTGGCTATCCTGGAACTAACTCAGTAGACCAGGCTAGCCTCAAAGGCATAGAGATCCGCCTGCCTCTGCCTCCCGAGTGCTGGGATTAAAGGTGTGCATCATCACCGCCCGGCATAACTGTATATTTTTAATGTGTGTTCACAAATAACCTTAAATTTATTTTTTAACATAAAAACATGCTATAATTAAAAAATCCAGAGTTATTTTAAACAGTAAAATATTTTCTCTGTAGAAAATAATAAAAATGATAGCATTTTCTAATAAGCCCTTTTAAGCCAAATGATAGCTGAATTATACATATAAATATTGATTAGATTCTGGGATATAGAAGAAACCTATCTTCATCTGTTCAGAGAGCTATGTTTTTTTCTGTTGTTATTGTTGTTGTTTTAAAGATTTGTTTATTTATTATGTATACAATGTAATGTCTGCATGTACCCTTGAAGGCCAGAAGAGGGCACCAGATCTCATTACAGATGGTGGTGAGCCACCATGTGGTTGCTGGGATTTGAACTCAGGACCTCTGGAAGAACAGCCAGTGTTTTTGTTTTTGTTTGCAAGGGGGGGGGGCGTTGAGACAGGGTTTTCTCTGTGTAGTTTTGCGCCTTTCCTGGAACTCACTCTGTAGTCCAGACTGGCCTCGAACTCACAGAGATCCACTGCCTCTACTTCCCGAGTGCTGGGATTAAAGGCGTGCACCACCACCACCACCACCACCACCACCACCCAGCTGCAGCCAGTGTTCTTAACCACTGAGCCATCTGTCCAGCCCAAGAGCTCTGTTTTACTTAAGTTGTGTAAGTGAGATTCCTTCATCTTCTCCTTCACTGTTTGATTCATGGCAGACATTTTTCTATAGGCTAATCCATAATCTAAAAAGATTTTAGCCTCCCCTCCTGAAAGTACAACCAGCATTTTCTTTCATCAGCTTGATACGGTACAGATTCTTATCCTAATAGTGAAATGTTTCACTGAAGCTTACCCAGTGATTGGGCAAAACCAAAACTTATTATAAGCCACAGTCATCCTAGGGTCCCCCCTGCTAGGTAGCCTTGCTGGATCTGTGGGTTGCAGTCTGATTGTCCTTTGCTTTATATCTAGTATCCACTTATGAGTGAGTACATACCATGTTTGTCCTTCTGAGTCTGGGTTACTTCTTGAGTGTACATCTTGGTGAGTTTTGATTAGTATCTGCAGAAATACGAGTTGGTAGTGTAGATCAGTGGTGGAGTGCTTGCCCAGCATGCATGAAACCCTGGGTTCCATCCCCAGCATTACATAAACTAGGGAGAGGCGGGAAGACCAGTAGACCAAATTCACCCCTGACTATAGAGAGAGTTAAGAGGCCAGCCTGGGATACATAAGATCCTGCTCAAGCAAACGTGTGCACACAGACAGACAGACAGACAGACACACACACACCCTGTAGATCGGAATAGAACAGTCCTGCCTCCCCAAAGCTTCCTTTCTCTCAAGTGGTCAAGCAGTGCCTAGGCAGGCTGGAATGACTAAGGGGACAGGGGACACAAGCCTTGCCACTGCGGCTCTTGCTGCACTTACTGACTCAGCCAGGCAGTTCAGAGGCAGCAGGCCCAGGTAGATCCAGGCAGTGGATTGCTTACAGCCGACAGAGGTGAGATCAGCTTTGTGGCCGCTCCTGGTGACCCTAGTTCCACGGAACAATGAAGAGGAACCAGGTAACGAGATGCGATGGTCTCTCTTCAACTGAGACAGAACACTAAGCCACCAACAAGCAGTTTTGTAGCTGCAGTGGCCCTCCAGGAAGGAACCCTGCACACAACTGAAACAAGGATGAGGACTGTTAAGTGGCATCGGGGTGTAGTCTCCTACAAAGTGGGGGCTCTTTCTCCAGTCTGCTGTCCTCCTCTGGCCTGGGGGAGAATCACACTCTGCCAAGACTTGGGTTTGAGTATGGTCCAGCCTCACCCATGCCGAAATAACAAGTGCTCCATCATAGCTGTCTCCTGCAGTGCCGTCCCCCGATGATCCTAACCCTCCGTGGGTCCAGCTAAGAATTATTTTCAGTATTTAGAAGGAGGATTATCTACAAGGTGTTGTGCCTTTGCTTG